GCGTCTCGTGTGCTGATCAACCCCCCCCCCCCCCTTTCCCCCCTTTCCCCCCTTTACCTCCCATGCATGCACACGCGCTCTCTTTCGCCTTCGCATCGAGATGATTCGTACTCCAGGGACCTTTCGTGGATCGGGCTCTCGTTCCGGGAGTCACGGTTTCGATTTCTAATTAAGATAATTCGGGGTATCCGTGGAACGACTTCATTCGTTCTGAAACTCGATACGGTTTCTTGCCTTCGGTTCCGTGGCGTCGAAAGAAACCTTCGTACTCTCGCGATATTCGCATGCGACCGTGCACGCATCCGTAACTCGTTCGTTAGCCTTCGCGTAGAAAATTTTTCCCGCCGTTTCTTCCGCTCATCGGCGCGGCTGGGCATTTGGGCATTCCCGTTTCGGTCGGGCGGTCGAAGGAGAAGCCGAGGAGGATGTGACTCCTCTCGGATGGGGTAGAGACTTCCTCTTTCCGGTGTCTATTCTTGCCTGGCCTGTTGTCGGCCTGGGCAGTCAAAGGGAAACATCGATCGCTTCCTTTATTACGATACTCCTTAGTTCTTCAAAAGGAAAACAAAGGAGGGGGGGGGGGGGGGGGGGGGAAACGTGAAGAGACGATATGAGGATGAAGCATGGGGACCTTCCCATGGGCTACGGTCACTACCGAGACCGTGTTTAAATACCCACCTGCTTCTTTCCCATCTCTCCTGCGGCGAGAGACGAAAGTCCTACTTTTGTTCTTGGATTCCCCGTCTCACGGCGATTGGGGAAATCCTCCGGGGCCGTGCGAACGATGTCCGATGTCACACGTGGTGAGGGGAAACTCGCTAGTGACTTTCGAAACTGTTTTTTTTTTTTAATTGCGTGCGATGTGACGATTTGATGCTTGGAATTTGGAAGCCGCCGGAAAATTTTGAGATTTTAAGGGCCACTCTGTCCGTTCTCGCTGGCCTTTGGCATCTAGAATGACCCTTCTGCAATGACCTTTGCAGTATATTCCTTGTCGCTGCGAAGGGAAGCCACCGACTCGGGGAAAGACCCATACATATTTTTATCCTGGCATTTTCAAACATTTCTGAATATGCAACGGTGACGTCACCGTCACGTAGACGGTGACGTTATGATGTCCAGCTCCATGCAGCATTCCGTCCCTTATTAATTTATCCGAAAGACACGCGAAATTGAAATGGAATTCATCCCCCCCCTCTTGGATAGCCGCTCCTGGGGGGTTTTCGGAGGGAAGAGACTTGTGGATGACAAAAAGTGGCTTTTTTTGCTCTTAGCGATGCTCCATTTCGCCATTAAAAAAATGAAATTAGCTGTCGTTCAATTAGGCTTAGAGTGCTCGCTCCGGTACCGTCCCTCAGTGTTGCCGGATACCGTGTCGAAATTATGCCAGATTCAAGACTGTTTCAACCTTGGCATCGGCATCTGGATCTTCTGTTTTCTTTTTATGTATGAGGCATTTTTGTGCCGAGTTCACGAGTTGAGCTGAGAATGAAGCTGCGATTAGCAGTTATTAATCGATGTGGTGGGACATGCAGATAGGTTATCCGGACATCCCTGAATTAACAGGATGGCGCGTACCATTGACTGCATGCTTCTTGAAGGCATTCTCTCCTCAGACCTATTCGAGATGGTTCGAGGAACTCCGGATAGGCCTAACGTTCCACGTCCCACCGAAATTGTTCATGAAACGCGAAACAGGCCTCCAATCGGTCTAACATTATACATCTCTCCAGTGGCGTAGCGTGGTTGGCATGGGGCCTGGGGTTGGCCTGGCATGGGCCCTGGGGTTGGCCTGGTGCGAGGAATGAAACGGAGCCCTCTATCCAGTTTCTTGCTATTGAGTTATGTGGGAGTTATATTTATTTTTTTTGCTAGATTTTCTCCGGCAGCATATAAATCGTCGTCGGTAGCTGAAGTCAGTGGCGGAAACAGAAATGTTTCATAGGGGAGGACTGTTTCCCTGTTCCCAGCCCACCCCCCCCCCCCTCATCTACCACCACCCTCCGTCCTATCGCCTTTCGTCCGGGATAAAACCCTGAATATCCATTTGACAGGAGCTAATAAACATTTATTTATGTACTTTTTAAATTAAAAAAATAGACTGCGAACTTGACCAGAGGAGGGGCAGTCGCCCTCCCCCCTTCTTCTGGATCCGCCACTGGTGAAATGCAGGACCGGATCAAGAAGTTGCGAGGCCAGGGACAAGCGGATTCTTGCCCCTCCCCCCCTCCCCCCTTAATCCGGCCTTTGGTGCATAGTACTGGAAGTGACCACCACTTCATTTAACTCCACGAAGAGGCGTCCCAGTTGCAAGATGTCTTTGTGCCGTGCCGCGTTGAATTCCTTTGATTCCTTTTGACCCTCCTTTTCGGCTGCTGGCTCTCACCTCGTCCAGATGCCAAAGGGTTTCCAGCTAACGCCTCCCCCCCCCCCCCCCTGCCTTTCCCTATCTTTTTCGCTCGGCGCCTGGGCCTCTCCGACCCGTGGGCCTGCACATTCGGTAGTTACGCCACTGGTCCTCTCTGAAAAGGTTCGGGAATGCATAACTAGCCTGCGATTGGCCTAACGTTACACGTCCTCGACCAGATGACTGGAAGACCACGATTCACTCTTATAGGCCTAATTGGCGCCGTAAGTCGAGAATTGCGTTTCTTTTGAAAATATAAAGGTAGGCCTTGGCGTGACCTGAAGGCAGTCTCTTGGTTAGGCCTAGGCTCAACGTTAGTGAGTCCTGTAAAAAAAAGGCGGGGGAGGGGGTAGAAGAAAGGGAAAACCATTGAAAATTGGTTTCCTTCACGTTACTTCGTTTATTGATGCGTTGCCCTTATTCTCCCCGGCGACTTCCTTCTGATGCCATGAACGGTCTCGACAAACGATTCCTCTCCTTCCTTTCGCGAGGCTTAAAGCGAGTTTCCAGTGCTGACTTTCAGTTCATGTCGAGGGGGGGGGGGGGGGGGGGGGGGGGGGATGCCCGGTCTCGTTCCGCGCCTTATCGCAGAGCGAAGGGGGGATTAAAACGCACCGAGTTCCGTGCCTCAAATCTGGCTGGCCGAGAGATGATACTCCTGGCTCTTTTGCAATTTCTCCCGAGCGGTTTGAAACATGGAGGCGTGCCCGTGACGTAATTTCGCAAGTTTTTCGTCGCGGCTTTCGAGCGAACTTCGGGTTCGCGAAAGTCCGCGAAAGGGTTTCCTGAGGGATCCACACGAGAGGGTGCGTGCGACGGCACCATCTTTCCTTTTATTTCCGTGGAATGGGCGGTCGCGGTGGTATCCGAAAATTCCTCTCATATATCATATATCCGTGGGTACTCCATCACTCTCGGGCACAAAAATAACAGGGTACTAGGATCGAATGGAGATTTAAGGGGGGAAAGGGAGAAGGAGGGAAAGGGGAAAAGGGGAAAAGGGGGAAGGCGTTTAAACACTTCTCAAGTCGACTCTTTACGAAGTGAAATAAGTCGCGGAGAAAAATGAGAATCTACACTGCACTCTGTCTTTCCAGAGTTTCCAGCAGTTTCATTGGCCTATAACAATTTTTTTTCAGCGCAACTCTTGCATGGCCACGCTTAGTCTGAGCCGTCTTTCTAGAATTTCGTGGTGCACCTTTCCAGTCGTTTCGAGGAGTTTTTGGACCCGCAAAAACCGAAAAGCAAAATCCCCGACGTGAAAATTCCCCCCTCCCCCCCCCCCGACAAGCCCCCCGACGAAAGTGGGCGTCACGGACAAACCCGACACGCCGATCAAAAAGCCTCTCAATTCGATAAATCTCAGAAGTTGATTTCCCTTCGTCTCCTTTCGCGTGCAGCCGGATGGAAAGATTGCAATCCGGATTCCTGTTTCCAGAGACTGTTATGAAAAAAGGAAAAAGCAGTGTGGCACATGGACGCGACATGGACGCGACATGGACGCGACATGGACACGACATGGACCCGACATGACTCGCTCCCATGACTGGGAGCATTTTGTAAATTGTCGGCACTCGTTTGGCATGCGTGCTTTCATCTGTGTTCTTCATATTCCACGAAGAAATGTCATAATTTGGGATATTTTGCACGTGAACTCTTCAAATTGGGGATGAAACTTCTTGGGATTTTCTTTTTTTTTTGCGGATGATTTTACCTGGGCGCCATTTTGTCAAGAGATGGAAAGCGAAAGGTTCCAGCGGGTACTTTTTGTTACTTTTTGATTCTCCAA